ACCTATAGACATAGCCTGATCGATACAAAAGATCAAAGAAGTGGTTTTCTTCGAGGTTTTCTTGAAACAAATTAGTGGCAAAATAAAAATTGCAAAAACAAATGTGTAATTAGTGAAATTAAAATGATTGCATTAAGCTAGCGACCCCCCTATATAAAAACCGATAAAAGATCCACTGATTTTGTTTTCATAACTAAGTGGCAAAATAAATCCTACTTGAAAACTCGAAGAAAATTAATACCTAGGTCAGTATATTTACACGAAAATTAAGAATTATTTTTCTGAAATTAAAGGTACACACCTCGGTACACAAATTCCAATTCAGAAAAAAGAAGGTAAACAGTAAACGATATGAAAATTATTAAAAAATGTAGATACATCCAGAAGTGTTTGGATAATGCAGATAAGCAGTTTTTTAGAATGAAGAACATATTACCTACATATAAAATACATACCTAGCTATATACACAAACACTCCAATTTAGGGACCATATTTAAAGGGTGAAGAATATCACTCAACAAATTAAAAAATTAAGAAAAGATTTAAAATTTACTTGATGGGCAAATACAAAAACCAAAGAAACCATTGATAGGTGAAATGTATTTAACCTCAAGTTTCTATAGACTGCAATCGGTTATATCGTGGCAGCAATCTGTTGTTGTTTTATTATGAATAATCCGTTTCTCAATGAGAGTTGTGTCTTGTGACTTACCTATCTTTGAAAACAAGTCCTTTAATGAACAGACGCAAAGATGGGTTTTGTTAATATTTTGTTTACCCCCTTTGCGCATACCAATCGTTGGGGTATAGGTACACAATATATTCCAGAAAATTTCTAAACTCTTGAAGGACGACAACACGAAATTCTAACCTGAACTCAAACAAATTTACCAAAAAATCACTATAAAGTCTAAAATCCTACCAAAAAGGAGTCCCGAATATTTCGTTTTATTTGTTTTTAATATATTCAACAAAAAACTTCATTAACGGATATAAGTGAATTTTGGAACTATATGATACATATGTTTGTACGAGTATTTGTCAATAGCAAAAGTATAAACCCTTCGTAGTGTTCCTTTTATAAGCACTCGGTCAACCCTTGTCGAGTTAAAAGATTTATTTTGGTATATTGCAAAAGCAAAAAAGACTACCATTGATAAAATGTAGATACTTGTTCTGGTTGCTTCTAAAAAGTCCTGAAGGATGTCTGTAAGCGAATTTGTTGGCGTGACTAAAAAAATTAACTAAAAATATTTTTATGTGTAAATTATAAAGTCTTTACTCGAGTTTTACCTGCGCCTTGTATCGATTCACGTCACACCCACAAGTCCCTCTTAACCCTCGGAGAAATTATCTCTTTGTACAACAAAACTACCCCTAACCAATAATACGCGCAGATATAATTCCAGATGGCGAGAGAATCCAACGGTTTATGGCGCCATTACTGAAGGGGAGTGTTTATTATATTGATCTGTTACCCCTCATTCCTACTACTGCTATAGTTTATGTTCTAATTTAAGATTATATTATATACCTACACTACAAGTGCGACTAACTTGAACAGGTATCTACTAAAGATTACAAAATTCAGTTCTTTAGTTAGTTTCTTTAGTATACCTAAATGTTGGAAATGGAGCATAATAAAAAAATGCAAGTAACTTGAATAATTATATGTATTGTACCTATAGTATAGTATAGTATAGTACACTGAAAAAAATTGCAGGAATTTTTCAATCGTTGTGCTGTAAAAATTTCAGTTTAAATTGGGGAATTAAAAATGTTTTGTAACATACATATTATGTAAAATGAAAATGCATATGAGTATTACATGACATAATACATAAAAATATGGTAAATTTACAGTGGAAATATGAAAATTCGCATAAGTGAACATTAAAATTACATTGTCGGATACGTAAAAAAAATAATTGCAATGTAAGTGTAAAAAACGTCAAACATATGTTGTAAGATTTTGTCCTGAAAATGCACATGTATAATAATAATGTCTAGATACTTAAAAACGAAGGCAGTGCCATTATTACTTTTGCTGATGCTGATTTGTAGTTTTGGCTGAGGCGCTAATGTCATTTACCTCCCTTGCGTCTATAAAGTTAGTGTGAGTTAATCTAAATTTATTATTATATTTATTACTCTAAACTTATCTGCGATTCTGAAGGTACTAAGTACGTATTTTAATTACTTATCTGTAACAATTGTAAATTTAAGGGCAGAGCGAGCCTGCAAAATATAAAGACCTTGATAGCAAACTTTGGTTCTGTTTGCACTTTTTCCAATGTTGGTGCTTCCACAAAAGAAACATAATTATAGTGTTCATGAAATTGAGTCTTTCTTTTCCTTTATTTTTAAGTATAATCGAGAGTATAATGTTTTCTTTGTATTACACAGGCTATGTTTACATTTTAATAAGAAAAATTTACAAATTCACTATTTTTGCTTTTATTCTTTTGCTTGCAAGGTGTCTAATGAGGATTCCAATGGTAACATGGTCTTGAAGACCAACGGATTTTTGGGAGTGGTTAAACAATTTCTGTTATATGTTACGTTTTTTGCATCAACTTGTAGACGAGTCATATTCCATAACACCATACGTAACATATGCTAGCCGAAATACTGTAATAAAGCATAATAGGAATAGGAAACGTACCCAAAAAAGATAAGAATTTTTTTTGTGATATCCTCTGGAAAATTTAATAGTGAATTTCCCATATTACGGGAAAATACAGTGAAGTATTGCTTTTTTCAAGTTGAAGAATGGAATATCACCTTATAAAACGTTGTTAATTTAGAAGCTCCTCGGAATATGCAATAATAAAAATTGGAACTTTCCTATATCAGTCATGAATTAATCTGTGAATAATCAAGGTAAATTACGTTACGTATTACAGCAAAATTAATTTACAAATCGTTAGGTATTTTCGCAGAACTTTACGTTGGTTATAAATAGCCAACGTAAAGTTATGGAATATTATATAAACCTTTTTTACCGTGTATAGTATATGTACCTATAGTGAGCCTTAGCGCATGTATTTTTTTTCGTATACTTCGCCATTCTTTGTAATTGTAATGGAATTTATCTGTTTAAGATTTCAACAACCCCCCACGAAAACTTGTATTTTGTACTAAAACCGGTATTGTAAGAGTAGGTACCTAAGGGGCAGGTAAACAGACCAGAAGTTTATTGCTACTGAAGGTAAGCAGTCGTGTTTGCCACAGTATCGCGTCTATACAGTCCACTACTAATAAATATAGTTTAAATTCTATATATCGTTTTATTCAACGTCAGTAAAAAATAACCAACATATTTTTGGTCCAATCGAACCGTATCGTAACCATCACGCGGAAATTAAATTCATTATTATCAAACTTCGGTATTCGTTATTTAATTATTGTGACAAGGCATTGGAAGATCACCACTCGTTCAGGAGTACACAAGCAGGTACCTGAAAACAATTACTCATCGAATTCCTACCTATTGTATGGACCGGTATGCAGCTTTCGAGGTCAAATATTTTTGGAAATCCCGTCCTGGAATGCACAAACAACAACTATAATTGCAAGTAAGTCATCCTTTAAATATTTCCATTTATCCATTTTTCCTTCGATTTTTTTGCGCAATACTGTTGTTTGTTTGTATTTATTTTATTTGCATTACCTGTTCATAATTTTCATTATGGCAACTCCGGAATTGCAGGAGGAATTAAAAACACAAAGAAAAAATCGTACAAATTTGAAATCCGCATTGACCCGTTTTCAATCATTTTTATCGGATTTTAATGGTTCATCAAATATTTTTGAATTAAAAAATCGACTAGCTAAAACAGAACCATTATTACAAGAATTTGCAAGGGTTCAAAATCTAATTGAGCGTTTGGAAAATTCGGAAGATTACGAACAATTAGAGGAATTTGAAAATAATTATTTTAGAATCACGTCGAAGGCTCAAGAAATTTTAGAGCAGCACCAAACAAATGTCTCTTCCACGACTCCAAACATTAATCAAAGCCATTTATTGCAATCACAAAGTATTATTAAATTGCCTACTATTCACCTGCCGGAATTTGACGGTAGCTATGATAAGTGGTTGAGTTTTTATGATACATTTGATGCTCTCGTAAACAAAAACGATTCGTTAAGCAGTGTTCAGCGTTTTTACTATTTAAAATCGGCCTTAAAGGGTGAAGCCGCTCATTTATTAAATTCATTAGAGGTAACGACGGCAAATTACGTAATAGCTTGGAATCTATTAAAGGAACGTTATGAAAATAAAAAATTGATAATCAGTACGCATATTAAGGGCATTTTTGAATTACCTTTAGTGGTCAAAGAATCTCATAAATCGTTACGTTCATTGATTGACAGCTTTAACAAACATTTAAGGTCATTAACAAGTTTGAACTTACCCACGAACCAGTGGGATATTTTATTAATTTACATAATCACAACCAAACTTGATAGTGCTACTAAACACGAATGGGAGAAATCCTCCGTAAACAAGGTTGAGCTACCAAGTTTGGACGATTTGTTAAAGTTTTTGGTCGAGCGGTGTCAAATATTAGAAAACATGAGTGGCGATAATTTCTCGAAACAGTTATTTTATAAAAGAGCCAATTCAGCAAGCCATTTAGCCACCGAAAAATCCAATTCACTTCGTTGCCATTATTGTAAAAAGGATCATCTCCTATTTCGTTGTCCAGATTTTTTGAAATTGACCGTGCAAAATCGATGGAATGAGATTAAAAAATTAAAATTGTGTGCTAATTGTTTCCGTCCTAATCACTTAAACAATGAATGTCATTCATCCTACTGTAAAAAATGCAATCGCAATCATAACACAATTCTCCATAATTATGGTAACGACCGTACGGAGGAAAACCAGTCAGGAAATACTGCACCTCGTACAATACCAAGTAATAGCAGAGCACCCGAACCCAGTAGCAGTAATCAACTTCAGAGCCATTTGGTCAGATCTAATCCCGAAATGACAATTAATGCCCATTCATTACGTAGCGAACCTTATGTCATATTATCAACCGCAAAAATTAACTTGCGGGGCGCAAGGGGTAACATAATTTCGTGCCGCGCGTTGCTAGATTCTGGCTCCCAGTCGAACTTTGTTACGCGAGAATTATTCGAAAGATTGGGGTTGAAGGGATCGAAAATTAATATGTGCATAGGCGGAATCGATAAATCTACGACAAATATAACAACACAAATCACGACCGAGATTAGTTCAGTACACAATGGGTTCAAGCGGGAATTAACATTTTTGGTATTACGGGACATAACGGGTAAGGTACCGATAAGTGATATCGATATAAGCAATATTGAAATTCCCAACGGTATAGATCTCGCAGATCAGGAGTTCAATGTGTCCGCCAAGATAGATGTATTATTAGGCGCGGGGGTATTTTGGAACCTTTTGTGTATAGGGCAAGTTAAATTGGAAAATCATGACGTCATTCTTCAAAAAACTCGTTTGGGTTGGGTATTTGCAGGGTCAGTAAGTCATTCAAAAACGGAAATCAACGCGTTGCATTCGATTAATCAGGACGTACAAAACCAATTGGAAAAATTTTGGAAAATTGAGGAATGCGATGCTCCACGTCAACTCACCGACGAGGAAGCATTTTGTGAGCGACATTTTACGGAAAATTATAAACGCGATTCCACCGGTAGGTTTGTAGTTCGTTTACCTATGCGGGATGAAAACTTTGATTTTAAAAATTCGTTAGATAGTGCTACACGCCGATTCTTGTCATTAGAGAAACGCTTTTCACGCGATCCCATATTCAAAGGGTCGTATCATGATTTCATTCGGGAATATGAAAACCTTGGTCATATGAGTGAAGTTAAACGTACAATGGAAAATAATGATTATCATCCTATATTTTATTTACCGCATCACGGGGTGATCAAAAATTCTAGCGCCACGACGAAATTGAGGGTGGTGTTTGATGCTTCGTGCAAGTCTTCATCGGGTTGGTCTTTAAACGAAAAATTATGCGTCGGTCCACACATTCAGGACGATTTATTTTCTATAATTACACGATTTCGTAAACATAATATTGTCTATACAGCCGATATTGAAAAAATGTACAGGCAGATCATGGTAGCCGACGACCAAAGAGATTTACAACGAATTGTTTGGCGTAGTCACGAATCCGAACCATTACGATATTACAAATTAAATACCGTCACTTACGGCACCGCTCCGGCATCTTTTTTAGCGGTGCGTTGCTTACGTCAATTAGGGCTCGATAACCTTGACACTTCACCTAAGGCAAGCGGCGCAATCATAAACGATTTTTATATGGACGACCTGCTAACCGGAACTGAAACCATAGAGGAGGCCATTGAAACAAAGGAGCACATTAACGAAATTTTGTCGGGCGCGGGGTTTAAATTAAGAAAGTGGTCTTCAAATCATACGCTATTACTTCAAGATTCAGATTCCAAACGCCAAGAAGATCATTATTGTATTTCCGACGACAAGGGCACAAAGACCTTAGGTTTGATGTGGGACAATAATAGGGACACGATTGGGTATTCTTTATCATTTGATGTCAACGAAAATAAAGTAACTAAGCGCACTATATTATCTATTGTAGCCAAAATTTTTGATCCGCTAGGGTTGCTAGGACCGATCACAGTTAAAATTAAAATTATATTGCAACGGTTATGGTCTGAACAATTAAACTGGGACGAGTCAGTGCCGTTACACATTTATACGGAATGGAAGCGAATTGTAAATAGCCTAAAAAATATAGAAAATGTCAGGTTGCCCAGACAAGTCACGATTCAAAATTATACAGAATTAGAGTTGCACGGTTTCTGTGACGCTTCCGAAGCAGCATACGCTTGCTGCGTTTACATTCGCAGCAAAGATAAGGAAGGAAACATAAAGTGTAATTTACTATGCGCGAAATCCAGAGTTGCTCCACTAAAAACAATCACGATTCCCAAGTTAGAGTTATGCGGAGCAGTTCTTTTAGCTAACCTTATGTACAAGGTTATTAATTCTTTCAAAGCAAATTTCAATAGGGTTTGTTATTGGTGTGATTCCACAATTGCGTTATCATGGATCAAATCAGAACCAACAACCTTTCAAATTTTCGTCGCAAACCGAATTAATGAAATTCACCGGCTTAGCGACCGGTCACATTGGTATCACGTAAGATCAGGTGACAATCCTGCCGACATTATATCGCGCGGACTTAGTCCAGAGATGATTTTAGAAAACAAGTTTTGGTGGGAGGGACCGCCATGGCTAGCAGACACTTCGTATACTTTGCAAAAAGTCACAAAATTAAACGAATTACCAGAGGTTAAAAAAGGTTTCAAAATTTCAGCCTTTGTAGGAGTCAACGCGAAACACGAATTCCAAATACTTGAAAAATATTCTAGCTTAATCAAGTTGCAACGAGTGGTTGCATATGTATTGCGCTTCCTACAAAATACGAGCACACACAAGGGGGAGAAATTAAGCGGCGAATTAACCAATAAAGAGATTAACAACGCAATGCGCAAATTAATTGTATTAGTGCAAGGACAATATTTTAGCCAAGCCTTGGAACAAATAAAAACATCAAAAACACTAAGCAAAACTTCAAAAATTTTAACTTTAAATCCCTTCATCGACACAAATGGCATACTTCGTGTGGGGGGAAGATTGTCAAAATCATTATTACACTCTGATCACAAGCATCCCATTATTTTACCCTCCAATTGTACATTCACTAATTTAATCATCGATTTCGAGCACAAACGAAATATGCACAGTGGAGTTGAAGGCACGTTAGCTCTTATCCGTACCAGATTCTGGCCGATTCATGGTCGTAGCACGGTAAAAAAGGTAATTCACAAATGCGTAAAATGTGCTAGGTTTAGATACATTTCGGAAACACCCTTTATGGGGGACTTACCACATGAACGGGTTCAGCCAACAAGGCCATTTTTGCACACAGCTGTTGATTACGCCGGCCCTTTCCTGATTAAAGACGGGAAAACGCGTAATCGCAAAATTGTAAAGGCGTACTTGTGCTTATTTCTATGCTTTGCTACCAAAGCTGTTCACTTGGAGGTAGCTAGCGATTTATCCACGTCAGCGTTTCTAAACGCATTTAAAAGATTCGTCGGTAGAAGAGGCATTTGTAGGTCGTTATATTCAGATAATGGCACAAACTTTGTAGGTGCAAACAGAGAATTAAAACAAGTAATCCAACTATTATCAGACAATGAATTCTCCGATTTTTTTAAGCTCAATTCGATCGAGTGGAAATTTATACCAAGTCGTTCTCCTCATTTTGGAGGTTTTTACGAAGCGGCCATTAAATCCGCAAAATCGATTATGAAACGGATCGTAGGTAATGCTCATCTAACTTTTGAACAATTGACAACAGTATTTGTGCAAATTGAATCTGTCCTCAACTCTCGTCCTATGACACCCATTTCCAGCGATCCTAACGACTTGCTTGCATTAACACCGGGGCACTTCCTAATTGGAGACGTACTCAATTGCATCCCGCAAGAACACGTAATCGACACACCGGAGAACCGATTGAACCACTACGAGAGGCTGAATCAAATGTTCCAGCAGTTCTGGAAAAGATGGACTAGTGAATACACCCATACTCTACAAGCCAGGGGCAAATGGAACAAACAGCGACCCGACATAAAAATTGGAGCGATGGTTTTGTTAAAAGGCGAGTCAACACCTCCGTTGTTGTGGCCGTTGGGCAGAGTTGTCGAGCTACATCCCGGCTCCGACAAAGTAACCAGAGTGGTGACAGTGAAAACCGGAAGTGGGCTTGTGAAAAGAGCCGTTGCAAAATTGTGCATTCTTCCCATTAATGAGGAATAGCAAACCCATATTAAGACGTGTAATTAGTTAACCCAATTAATGACAACTAGTATTTTTGTAACAATTCATCATTGTATATAGTAGTTATATTGAAATTTAAATTAGCTCTTCATTTGAATGGAATTGTTTGCATTGTAATTAAAATCAAATCATTAGTTTATCTTTAAGCTACACTATTATGTATCATTGTATATATTGTTAACGTTAAGTATAATATGTATTGTATCTTATCCTAATCGTTTGTTATTGAAAGACACATCCTTTCAATGGGGGGTGTATGTTTAAGATTTCAACAACCCCCCACGAAAACTTGTATTTTGTACTAAAACCGGTATTGTAAGAGTAGGTACCTAAGGGGCAGGTAAACAGACCAGAAGTTTATTGCTACTGAAGGTAAGCAGTCGTGTTTGCCACAGTATCGCGTCTATACAGTCCACTACTAATAAATATAGTTTAAATTCTATATATCGTTTTATTCAACGTCAGTAAAAAATAACCAACATTATCAGAAGCAGAAACCAAGAAGGGCAAAGAGTTTACAATAACCATTTGTTAAAAGGGCTGCAAAACCACGTGGAAAAATCATTTTCATGACAAAATGAAATATATGATTTAAATTTAAAACAATTATTACTTCCACAATCCGCAATAACAGATTACAATAGCCGGAAATCAAAGATAAGTAAAGGTACCTACATAATAACTCGTCTTCATATAGCAAATAAAGAGACACTAAAGATGAAAGTAATAGCGTCTGACAATAACGTCGCAATAACCAGTGTAACAGGATAAAAACCTTAAAGAATCAATTTAGCCAAATTGGTTAAGGGTCCCTATAAGGAAACGAAAAACCTCCTTATTTAAATTATTAAATAAAAAATACGTCTGCAATGAAATTTTTCGAAGGCACAAAAATCTGCTCTCCAAACCGAAAACTTCTGCAATAATTCTTGATTACACGGATGAACTCGCGGATGGAACATCTTTAAAAAAATAAGAAGTAGTATTTTTGCATAAACAAGCTTTAAACGGCGGGAAGATTTACAGAGGACGAATCTACTCTTCCTCGTTCAAGAGGGAAACCCCCCCCTTCGCCCCCTGCTCCCCTTGTCCTCCCCCTCCCCCTTCTGCCTCCTGAACAAATTTTCTCTTCATAGACGAGAATAAAATTGCTCTGCCAATAGCGGTTGGCAGTGTCTGATACGAATAAAATAATACGATATCACTTCTGCAGAGGCCGATTTAGCAGATTAAAAAATGATATATGTGTACCTATACCTTAACAACTTGTAAGGTTAGGTTATAACATTATTATATCTTATATACCTACCCTATAGGGTAATCTAGTAAACCAGCTGGAAAATTATAGTGCGCGGAAGACAGTTTGTTATTTTTTAGGTAGAACATAATTAACTTAAGGTTTTGATTGAAAAATTTTTATCGCAATACATATAGGGGTAGTTTAAGAATTGCCATCGATTGTTTAGTAAGTCACAATTTGCATTCATTGTAGCCAACCAACCAGTTTGTTTGTGAACCCCTAACCCTCCTAATACATGAATAAGGTCGTTGTCGTGCCAATTGTTGAACGAAAAAGTCTTTTCGTTTAACATTGAACACGATAGGTACGTAGTCCCGAAGTCGCCTCACATCTTTAGAAAAAATAGATTGTAGATCGGGATCAAGTGTTTCGTGACCGGCCAATCTTCTGGCGAGAGGTTTATGACTTTATGTACCTGAGTATACCCAAGGATACACTTTGAAGAATTAAGAAAACAAAATAGGACAATGGATGCAGAATCACGAGTAGGTAAATGCGCGATTATAATATTTAATTGCGTTCTCTGACATAATTACATGTATGGAACTGTCAATAATGGAATATGAAGCCATGAGACAAACAGTTAACTATACAATTAAAATTTACAAATCACAGATTACAAATTAAAAGTGTCGCTATGCTTAATTTCTAATATCACATTAAATTTGAGAATATATGTTGTCATGGGTACTCAGGTATTCATCTATAGAGTAGAAGCATTGTTTCTTTAAGTAATATTTGACATCGCATTTAAAATGTTTCAGATTTGTTATTGATTTTAAATGTTTAGGCAAGTTGTTGTACAGTTTAATGCATGTGATGAACGGACTTCTCCCCATTTGCGTAGTTCTATGTGAAGGTATAAACAAGTTGTTGGCTGATCTTGTTGGGTAATTGCAGATTTCCCCGCACCTATTAAAGTTGTGTATGTTTTTCTTAACATATGTAACACATTCCAGAATGTAAATGCAACAGAGGGTCATTATGCTATATTGTTTAAAATATGGCCTGCACGAAGACCGATGAGGTAAGTTTAACATATTTCTCAGAATGCGTTTTTGATGAATGAATATTTTTGTTACATCACGTGCGTTTCCCCAGCATACTATTCCGTACGTGAAAAGGGAATGTATACAACCATAATAAAAACAGATTAAGGTTTCAAAATGGACTATATTTTTTAGCTGAGTAATACAGTAATTTCTAGATGCCAGTCGCTTTGATAATTCACAAATGTGAGTGCTCCAAGATAAGTTTTCGTCGATATAAACACCAAGGAATTTAACTTTTTGGGTTTGTTGTAGTGACTTCTTATTCATTTTAACTAATATATTAAAATCATTTTTTATATTGGTTGGTGAAAAGAAGACCATTTCAGTTTTTTTTGAATTTAGTACCAAACCATTTCTCTCACACCAGGACTGCATCTCGTGGGTGCAGTTGCTCGCGTTCGTGCAGAGACCTTCAATTGTTTTATGGGTTATGACCGTGGATGCATCATCCGCAAAGAGTGATATAAACCATTTATTAACGTACGCGGGTAAGTCATTTACAAATATAGTGAACAAGGAGGGACCCAGGACACTACCTTGCCGAAGGTTACAGGTGCGCTCGTAGAGCAATGTATTCCATACGCGTCTCTGAGACTGACAGATTGAGTTCTGTTGGATAGATAAGATTTAAGCCAGTTCAATGCTAGTCCCCTAACTCCGTATCGGTTTAGTTTTTCTAAGAGAAGGTTGTGGTTTATTACATCAAATGCTTTGCTGAAGTCGTAAAAGACTCCACAGGCTTTTATATTTTTATCGAAACTAGTCAACACTTTTCCATATAGAGATAAAATCGCGTCTTGAGTGGAACAGCCTCTGGTGAAGCCGAATTGTCTGTTGGTCAGTAGTTTTGAGTTTTCCAAAAATGATATCAATCGAGTTTTATAAGCAATTTCAAGGATTTTTGAAAGTATTGACAGTATGGCGATTGGTCTGTAGTTGTTTAAATCCATGGGATCTCCCTTTTTATGTATGGGAGTTATAAGTGCATGCTTTAATCCTGTCGGAAACTGCCCCAACGTGAAAGACTGATTTATTAAACGACATAACGGCTTTGTGAATAGTTCAGCGTTTTGTTTTACCAGTATGTAAGGAATGTTGTCGACCCCAGAGCATTTTTTTTGGTGCAATGGATTGTATTATATTGTGAACTTCGTCGTAAGTGACTGGATAGAGAAACATAGATTTGTTGTTCCAGCTCACCGTTATATTAGATTTGGTTGTGGGGTTTGCCCTGTTGGTTAAATTTGCAACAGAATTTATAAAATGGTCATTGAAGGCATTCGCCTGCTGTTTTATATTTGTGCGTATGGAGTTGTCTAAGTTAACTGGTGCATTGTAATTGTTTTGGCGTAGGTTTGTATTTGATTTTATTAGATTCCATGTGGCTTTAGTTAAGTTTTTTGAGCTAATTAACTGATTTGCATGGAATTTCCTTTTGGCTTCATCTATATTTTGTCGATGGGCCTGCTTTAGCGTTTTATATTTGGTGTGGACGCTTGGATCGAGCGTATGCTTGTACAATGTGTATAGGTTTCTTAGCAGCTTGCCTTCTTCAATTAATTGTTTGGTGATCCATTGTTTTCTGGAGAAATTTTTTACGGTTACTGTTTTATATGGAAAAGCAATGTTTAACAAATGCTGTACGGTACTGAGAAATGTGTTGAAAGCGTGATCAATATTTAGTTCGTTGGTGACATCAGACCAAGATTCTTTACTTAATAAATATTTGAAATATTGTTTATTCTCCGATGTAAACTTACGCATACTAACCCTTGTTGCCTCTCCTGTATTTGAATGCATTCCAATAGTTATTGATTGTGCTTCATGATCAGACAACAAGTTGTTTATAGTTTTTGTATCCATCACTTGCACATTTGTGAAGATATTATCTATTAGCGATTTCGAGTCTCCCTGAATTCGTGAATGATCTGTGAAGCAATGATTCATACCATAGGAATTAAACAATTCAATGATTTCTCCCGAAGCCCCATTTGTACTAGAGAAGTTGTAGTTAAAATCACCACATGCAATGTTGATTCCCTTGAGACAATTATGTGATAGCAGTAATTGTTCCAGGGAGTCTAGGAATTGAAATTTGTTATTAGTGGAAGGAGACCTATAAATACAATGTACATTAATATTTATATTATCCGTTACGATACTCACGCTAGTGGCTTCAAATACCTTATCAGTTAAGTTAACGGATGAAAGTTCCCTTGTTTTAAAATTAATACCTAATTTAATAAATATTGCTGTCCCGCCACCGCGGTCGGAATGTCTACAGTAGTTGCTGGCGAGGTTGTAATAGTCTAGTTTTATACTGAGGGCTTCTTCTTGTTTTAACCAAGTTTCGGTTAGGCAGACAACCTCTGGTAGATCTAAATTATGCAGAAAAACATTTAAAAGGTTTATTTTATGGCGGATACTCCGGATATTTAAGTTTAACACACGAAATTGGGCGGGTGGCTTCTCCTTTAGGACCATGTTTGTGAGCGGCATGTCTCTGGTCATTTCGCTGTTTCGGTGCCCTTGCGCGGGTGAAAAAACCTTGTCACGTAAGTACCTGGAGCCCATAGTTCTGGTTTCATGACATCATTAATGTTGTGTATATCAATTGTGATCTTGAA